AGCTATGCAAAACCAAACGCAAACGTAAACACCCACCAACACTTGACCCCAGACAAAAGTGACAGTGATTTCATTTTAGAGAATGAGAGGTACGTGCAAGGAAATGGAGAAAGATTTTCAGTTGACTGTCGGAAGCTACTGGTGACGCTATTAGCAGTGTCAGCAAATGCAGACGTACATCATCAACGAGAACTGCAGGTGAAGTAAGTGCAGACTGCAACAGCTTTTACAGACCAGTCTACGGGTACATTAACAAGGCAGGTAGGTCCCAGGATCTACAATAAAGTTACCCAACTTTCACAGAATTTCCTCTTTCAAGGCCATAACCAGCTTTTGAGAATACAGGTAACGAATTCTAGGAAGACTAGATATTATTTTTCCATTGTTTTCGTTTTTGTGAAAGATTAGAACAATACCTTTTGCAATGGAAGCGTGGATTTTAAACACCACAGTTTCTTCCAGTGGGTTGTACTCTGTTGTAATAGAGGAAGCGTGGAGTGTTTCCACCAAGAAAGGCATCTTCCCCTTAGTGTAATCGTAGGTGACAGTGTGGTTCCATGTATAGGGAACACTAACTCCATCTACAGCGAAGAGACGAGTAGAATGGGCATACAGTTGCCCAGGGCCGGTTTGGATATAATCCTCTGTGTAATCCTGAAACAGCAAGATTTCAGGCATCAGCCACCGAGTACAGCCAACACCGCTGTGGTCTTCGTATTGTAAAGTGCTACGAGATGTATTCTGAGAAAGAGGTTTTTTCTTAACAGCTGAACAAATCGTATTTTGCACAACGTGTGCCTTTTTTTACTCTTAGTTGAACGGTTGAATCTTAACAGAGTCTGGTGTATTTCTTTATATAAGAAACCGGCTGTGGTACTGAGGATTCTGATGATGGAGGCCACAGCACAGCATCTCCAAAACCCTGAAAATGATCCTATTGTTCAGTAACGATCTTTTGAGGTCTAAATATTTTTATTGTATTCTAAGTCAGATGCTGACAACATGTGCTAAATAAACAATCGGTAGAGAAAAAGTCTGCCACCAAAAAAGGTATAAATATTGGACATGCTACATATTGCAGCGTATTAAAATATCAAGAACTTCATGTATACTTATTGTACTGTGGGATTAATACATTAAAACATTTTCACTACTTAGCTACCACTAATTACCACCTTTATAGAAACAACTTTAAAGAATGTTCTTTCTTTTACAGTAAAACCAATTATCAAGCACCTGGTTTTAAACCAAGACTTTTAATACCACTTGTTATATGAAGCTAAATGTTTTTCATGTCTTACACTTAACGGAAGAAATAGAAAACCAGTTCCTTTGAACTCCATCTTTCTATCAGGAGTACAAGATCAGTGACAGAAGCTGTCTTACTAGGGGCAATAGTGAGTATCTCCTAGGAACAACGGACAGAGCATCTCAGGAGCAAGATTATAACTTTTTGCCCTACAATCATCCAAACTGCCCTCTCTAATCATTCCTGACAAAGTTCAGAGAGAAGCGTCATTCTCTGAAAAAGCAAATTCTGTAAAATATTTCAGATGAATTGCATCATAGGACGGTTTGCCATAATAGATATCTCCATGAGACGAAGTTTTGGTGCTACAGCAGAGAAAGGAGTTCACCATTGACAGCATCGTGACAGTGTGCATGATGAGAACACGTAAAATACTCTGCGATGTAATCTGATCCAGAATCTGTTAGTCTCCTGTCTTTGCAACTTTATCAGCCACAAGGACGTTTCTCTGCCAGACTACGTATCGTTGTAGCTGCAAACGCATCATCAGTAACATTCAGAGATTTTTGCATGTGCCATGGTACAAAAGAGCTGGTGACACCCTCTGGGAAGCCAAAAAGTCCAGCGGGTTTAAGACGCACCTTTATAGCTGCATGGAAAGCGACACCTGCCATGCCTGCCTGTGAGAACTAGCCCCGAAGACATTTCTCACTACTGCCTTCTAACATCTAAAAATCTTGAGCGACCAATACTACCTTCTTGACGACAACTTTTTGTTCTCAAAGGCAATGGTAACATCTGTCAATTAAACCAGGCACAAAACAAACTACATACAGTAAAACAGCTTTCAGGACTTAGCGTCTACTGCTTTACTATAGATGCAAGAGGAAGTACATATCGATGAAAGAAAGAGGGGGGTATCTCGAGCAGCCTTACCTTCACGTTAACGTCAGCCACTGACTGGAGCTGCAGCACGTGGCCACTCACAACAATATCCAGCAGCAAGGCTCCGTCAGAATCCAAGCCCCGGGCAATATGAGTCATTCGCAAAATCTCACCTATGGATTTTAACAGCACGTTGATTGAGAAAACATCCTAATCAGAGACTCATGGTAGCCACACAGTATCTGAATCGGAACCCCTTCACCAGTCATTTTATATTTTTATAAGGCGTACCATGCCTATAGTAAAAAAACATTACACGTTTCAAATTACAGCTCTAAAAGCTGTATTTAAGCCTCAGAAAGCCATAGTCATTCAGAAAATACTGGTGTAAGCACAAGACTCAAAATTCAGCAACAGTTATGTGCTCTTTTTTAAGAAATGGTGGTGTCTATTCAAGTTTATTGGAAACAGCAAGAGGTGGTATAGCACAGGTAACTAACCAGTTGCAAACTCCACTTGAGTTTCTCTCTTGAACATGGCATCAGTGAGCGTAAACCCATTCATTGCTTCCCCAATTTCTTTTGCAGTTGTCCAATACACTGGGCTCAGTATAGAAACAAGCTTCCTCATCGCTGGACCTGAAAGCAATGCGACATAACATTTGAGAGCTTTTTTCCTAACATCATGCGACCCATATCAGTACGAGTTGAATATGAAGACCTAAAACCAGGGTCACCCTTAAGATTTAAACCAGAAAAAAGTAGGTATTGGTATATTCAGAGGAATCATTTTACAAATACTAATGTACTAGAAGTAAATATTGAAAATTCCCTTCTCCTCTCGCTGTCTGTGAAAAGTTTAGATCAGTTTCTTCAGTGAGACTTAGTGAAATCAAGTGGTGAAAACCGACATTGCACAGAATTCAGTGTGGCTGAAGGAAAAAAAGAGATTAAAAAAGCCTACCAAGGCTCCGAGGGACGTTTGTAATTTTTGCTTGTATTACTCTAGTTTCAGAGTCGTGGTTGTCCGTTACTGTGGCGTTCAGGAACGCAATTCCAAATTCAATATTGTTAATATTTCCAATGATGCTGCCTTTGGCACGTGAAGGCCCACCTGTGGGGGGGACGGAAGGGGGGAAGGGGAATTAAAAAAAGAAAAGGCTCATGTGAAAACTCTGCTGTCTGATATTTTGGGGGAGAGAAAATTCAGAAATATTGTTCAGCTTTTTAAGAAGTAAGGATATTTCGGCATATATTACTACATCATTTGCAAGAGTGAATTTGCACAACCTGCAAAGAACAGCATGCCGTGTATGCACGGTCTGAGATACCTGCACAGTAACACGGGAATCCCCTTATGTGCTCACTCTGTCTGAAAAGCAGCAATAGTTTAACAGCATGCTCTAGTGCTATGTAACAGGTTAATGAAAAAAATTATCCAGCTGAAGTTGCAGGGGAGATTTAAGCCAAAAAAAATGAAACTACTTGGTGAACTGGCCAAGACACAGGAGAGTACCAGTCAAATTAGGAGTGCCACAGGCTTTCACCATGTTGTCATTGTGTGCAGGCTGTCCAGGAACTCACCAGGACATGCTTGGGGATTACACCTGGATATTTGGGAGGAGTCTCCAGGACAAGGACGTCCGCGATTTAACGGGGCGGGATTGCTGCACAGGCGTATTCGGGTCTGCTCTCCTCCTCCACAAGAAGCAGAGCATTGGCTCCATGTTTGCCACTGCCCCCAGTTTCCATCCACTGCAGAAATAAAGAATGAAGAAAGTCACTTTTCATTTTAAAAGTTTCAGGCCGCATCAGTGATGCTTTAGTGTCATTCCTTCTTGGTGGAATCCATGTGTTAGAGAAAAGAAATAGCTCAAAGGATGACAAAAACACCTTAATGGGCAGGCATGAAGACTTCTCCCCTCAGAAACACACCACCTTTAAAATTGTGTTTGTCTCTCAGCTACACTGGAAACAAGGAGGCTCCTCCCAAGGATATTCAGAATCTCCTGTCACTCTTTTTCGTAGCCTATGACTAGAGACAACCTGTCTGTCTACAGCTTTGAGTGCTTTTACTCCTACAAAGAAAATATCTGAGATTGCATGGGTACAAAGCTGACGGCAGAATACAAGAAACCAAACAAGACGTTAATCTTGCAAATAAAGAACACATGTTCTATCAGTCTGAACACTCACAAGAGGGCAATTAGAGTTGGCTTGAACTACACACGTGTGGGAGTCCGCACGGCCTCCTCTTAGTAGCACGGCCTCGGTAACAACAGCTGGTACAATAGGAACATGACTGAACATTGAACAGAGTTATCTGGAAATGCCAGAGCTGATACGACATTTGCCCCAAACTAGCAATGCTAAGAGGAAAGTAATAATTAAAACTTTGCTTAAGACAACCGTTAGCCAAAATAAAAGTAACAAGGGAACTGAAAAGAATCATAAAAGCAGCAGGAAAATTTGTGATTGGGGAGGATAAACCCAAGCAAGAGGAGGATAAACCCAGAACAGTCAGACCCCATAACCTCCATCGAGACGTCATGGAGAATTGTCCTTGCACACCAGGAGCAGCCGGTATCCAGCTAGTTGGGGGCTGATGGTATGGGGTGCCACAAGCAGGGACCCACAGCTCGGCTGTGCCGATGTGGCCTCATCGGGGGCTTTGTCACCGGCCTGTAGGTCAGCAGGGTGTTGAACGTGGCACAGGTACGCAGAAAGTTGGAGCTCCTGCATTTCCCACAGGAGGAGGGTGGGTAAAGGGGTGTGTGTAGAGAAGGAATTTGATTTTTTTATTATTATTATTATAGCAGAATTAATAATAATGAAATAATAATGCCTTTCTGGGATGAGTTATAGAAGGGTGTTTAGAAATCTGTAGGTGTTTAGTAAGCCTCTGGCATTGTGGTTTAGCTTCTGTATTGCTGATACTGATCCTGAATGTGTAAGTTCATTGATTGCCCCATAGTTAGATATAGTCAATAAATCAATCAACTGCTTTGATTGTTGTTTTATTTAAAGCATTTGAGCCGAGTATTTTTCCCTGCTCCTGGAATATATTACGAGAGTTCACTGGGAGCCTCATTTACTGTAAAAACTAAGTAGAATGACTAGGTGTAGGAGAGATTTTCATATGCTATTTCCTGGTTTGAATTATTCCCCCTCATTTTGGGAAAATCTAACATGCGAAGGGGGAAATCCTTGTAAGGTGACAGTCATTGAAAGAAAAAAGTGAGAGTGGATTATTAGATTGTATGAATTTCTAAGTAATTACAGGAACGTTCCACATTCTTTTCATAGTATGAAAATCTCACATACGTTATGTACACCCTGAAGTCTTCCAGGGAAAGCTGCATTTAATTCCTCTGTTGTCTGAGCACTCACCAGGGCACAGTTCATTGCTGCATCTCTGGATCTGCATGTCAGCCCCTGCACATGCCCTTCCACCGCTGGCAGGGCGAGGATTGTCACAGGTCCGGTATCGCCTCACCTGGCCTCCGTTGCACGTCCGACTACAAGTGCCCCAACTACTCCATGGGCCCCAGTTGCCATGAACTGTAAAAATAAGTCAGATTTTATCTGGTTTCCTTTTAATAACAGATACTTAAAACCAGACAGTCAAGCTAGGAAAATATTCCTCTCGGAAAATAACTTTTTAATTTCTTCTCCCAAAATACAAATAACAAACCCAGACAATTAGAGATCTAAGAAAGTTACTTTGTCCAGCATTCATTGATTTCTCAGAGTACATTAACCAACTCCAGAGCATCGTCGTTCACAGGAAAGTATGTGGGATATATTATTAACCAGATCAGTCACTACCCTCTCCTGGGAGATACAGAGAGATTCACTTTGCAGCACTTTCTGACTGCGCACTTGCAGCTTTAGAGAGGTGCGTGGCCTCTGACAGTCTGGCAGGACCTTAGGGACCAGCTGCTACCGGTTTGTGCTCCCACCAGTTAATGTTTAAAGTGTCCCGGTCACGCTGACCGATGAAGGGATGCTTTCACTCTCGCCAGGCGGCTAACACCACTTGCCTGCGTTCCGACCTCCTAATTTTTGTGGGAGTGTGTGATTGTGGAGGGCTTCCTTCCTCTCCTGCATACGTACAAACCCAGTGAGTAGATAAGCAGCCTAACCCAAAGTACTTACTCGGACAAGGATCACTGTTGCAAAAATCGATTTGTATGTCATTCCCTTCACATTTGTGACCCCCAAACTGTGGGGCTGGGTCTGAGCAGTGGCGCGTTCTCTGCCTGCTGCCTCCTCCACAGGACACGGTGCAGGCACTCCAGCTGCTCCACGTGGCCCACTTCCCATCCACTGGTGAGAAAGGCATAGCATGGTACAGTTACGGTCTCTGACACTAGAAATAACAAAGTAAATCAGTGCTACATGAGGGTAAAACTGACTACAATCAGGTATTATTGACGCTCCTTCTGGAACATCTCAGTTACACAGGGATTTCTACATAGGGATTTCCAGGAGCGAAAGCTGGAGAGAGGCAGGATCTGTCTTTTAAATAACCCGTAAGTCTGACCAGAATCACGGCCAGGGATCACTCAGTCCTCGAGCTCAGTCACACTCACATTTTTAACTATCTGTAAGCAAGTCAAACCGTATACAAAGTAGTCCTTGAAATCACCACACTGGGCCGATGGCCGGTACAAGCGCCACCCCAAAAACCCAGTCTTCACTTGCGCGTTCTCCTCTGGTTGTAGCTGCGCTGTCTGAAGATGTAACCATCACCACCTTCTCCCAGCTCCTTCCCAACCAACCTTTGATTTACTGGCTCAGTTGCTTCTAGGAGTTATTACCAAATTATCCCACACGAGCCAGGTCTAAGCAGTTGAGTAGTAGGGTCTTTGATCTCCCAAGACGTGGTGACACAAACTGTTACGGGTACATCCATGTGAGCACTTGCGTTGGTGGCTGAGGCCAGTTAGGCACAAACTAGCTGTAAGCGATGGCAGCCTCAGCAGCAGCACATCGAGCCGGATAAATGTACAACACCGAGCCCTCCATTTCTCAACTACCACAAGGTCAGTTCTCTCTTCTACCAGTTGATAGTTACAGCAGGGACTCAGCGTAGGATCTGGCACGTGCAAAATGGAGCACAGAGCCAGAAGGATCTAGTCTGAACTGCTGTGCGTTCCACTTAATGAAATTTCCATTCGTTACCCCTCCACTCAGCCAAATACAGAGGTCATATTTCAAACCTGTGAGTTTTCCTACCCAGTCATGAAGGACTCATTGATATGTGGAACAAAAAGATAAATGAACAACAGAACCTAGGAAAAATTAAAAATGCAAATGTTTAGGAAACCCGTAATTTAACTGCCAAGGATTTAAAACGCTGCTTTTGCACAGTGGCAGGATAAAGGAAGAGAGATAAGGACAGGAGAAGAAATCCCATGTTAGGGCTATAGAGGGATGCTAAAGACAGTGACACCGGCCAGTGAAAATAACAGGCTTGAATGGAAGTTTTTCAGGGACTGCACTTTTAGAACTGGAAAGCTTTCAATATAAATTAAAGTAGAATTTGGAAAGGAAATGACAAGTTTGTCATTGTTCTCTTTGCATCCGACGCATCTTACCTGGGCAGCGTCTCTTGTTGCAAACCTGCATCTGTGCGTCAGACCCCTCACAGTACGACCCGTCATGGGAAGGAGGGGGGTTATTGCAGAGCCGCAGTCGTGTCTGAGTACCTTTCCCGCAAGTCTCGCTGCAAGGACCCCACGGCAGCCAAGAACTCCACTCACCATCAACTGCAAAGGCAGCACAGCTATACAACTGTTTAAACGACACAGCTGCTTTAACTTGAAATTACAGCTCCACAGCCTAAGGCGAGAAAGCTATGCTGTTTAACATCAATAAATGAAATATCCTGAATAAGCCCTTGTAAAAACCTTCGCCTTGAGCAACAGCTGAAACGGATCAACAGTTTGCAAAAGAGAGATTAATTCTTTCCTTTTTGGTCTCCGAATACATCACTTCACCTCACCACAATCTTGGAACAAGAGAACTGAACGCCTGATCGCATCTGGTGTTCTCGTAAGTTAACCTGGCTCTGACCGTCCCGCGCTAGGCTGAAGGTCTCAGCAGGGGAAGGGGCATGCTGCCTAAAAGCTGGCACACAGCTTCAGTGGCTACCAGTAAGCAGAAGCCAGAACTGGTTTTGTTGCCAAGATCTAGAGAAATGAATCTCAGGCGGGTAGATGAACATTTGGCATGGTGGTGGTAGCAGAGCCCGGGTGGGGGGTAAATCAATATAACAAAAATTGTATAGAACGAAACATGTCAGTGGTGAAGGGTTACGAATATGTTGCAACCTGTCGAACACGGGAGGTACTACCAAGACAGGAAGAAAACCTGAACATTCAGCTAGTTACGAGAAAGAGGTGGGTGAAAATTAAAACAACAGATGAAAATATACAGATAATGTCTTAAATTATTAACAATCCTGTTTTACATGGCTTTGTAATACTTGGGTGTTTGTTTACTTTTTAATTTGAATTGGCTTCGCAGAATAGATTTAGACTAGTGAGTTTTACTCTGTGAGAACACAGGTAACAAGTACTGGAAAACATCAAAATACAAAATTAGCATTTTTATTGGGGGTAAAAAAAGAGAAATTGCTGAGAATACTCCCTGCACTTACTTTTGTGGCTTCTGTTTCCAAGAACCAGTGCCATTCAATGAATTACAAGCAATTTTAATACAAAAAATTGGGGAGTTTAATTCTTTTATCATTTAATAATTTGAAACAAGTTGAAAGAATGCAGAAAATGGAGAAAAAAAAAGAAACCGATATGGGAAGCCCCTTGTGCAACTAATTTTAAACCACTCTTCTCTTACCTGGGCAAGGCCTAATATTACACATGACTGAATCCACGGCACTGCCATCACAGGGCTTCCCACCGTGCTGAGTTGGGGGGTTACTGCAGGTTCTGGTTCTGGTCCTGTTACCTTGTCCACAGCTCTTTGAACACTCCTCCCATAGCCCCCACTCCGACCAGTTGCCATCCACTAAGAAACAGAAAACCCCACAGTTTTAATTAAAAAAATAATAACCTTTTTGGTGGTATTTATTGAAATTTCCTCTTCCTTTCCACAAAAGTCAAAATGAATTCCAGCTTCTTAGAAAAATTAATCTGTCACAAAGATCTGTGGTGATAATGGCTCGCTGTTAGGGCGCTTACCATAAGGTACATTAAAAGTATCGATTCATTAAAGAAATACCTGGACATGGCTTGTTGTGGCAGCTGCGTACGTCTGTATCGGGCCCCTCGCACCTTCTCCCGCCATTTGCCGGAAGAGGGTTGTTGCACTGACGGACTCGCTCCTGAACACCTTGACCACAAGTTACGCTGCAAGCTCGCCATTCAAGCCAGTCAGAAAATCCACCATGGACTACAATGGGAAAAAATGACCCTCTGTCTGTAACGTGCTTGTGCTTATAACTCTCTTAGATCGATACAGCAAAGTGAAAAATGCCCGTCATACGCCATATTTGGAAATCCAACTCACTTCACGTCTTCGTTACTGCAGAGGTGTCTTACTACAGTTCAAAGAACACTTCAGCTGCTCGGAAACAGTTATCGCTTATGCTCCTAAATGCTTTTGTTCAGAGGTACAATTAAGTTATGATATATGCTCTGAGGGTGGGATCTAGTTCAAGATCCTTTCATTATTATTTATGTCTCTCACCCCTTTGCATCCATCTGTCTCACACAGCTGGATGAGTATAATGGAACAAAATTTCAGGAAACAGAAACCCACTGACATCTCAGACTAGGCTTAATGTATACCTAATGCATATACGGAAGATAAAACATCTTATCCATAAAATACAGACATGATAAAATCTTGATCATATTTAATCTTAATTAATGCCGTAGCCTACCAGGTTGATAGTCAACTGTCCTATATTTTGTGCACCTACCCTGGACGGTCAGTGGTACTCTGACAAGAACCGATCCCATTAGATTCCTCGCTACACACTCGTATTCAGACGTATCTTCCTTCTGTGCTGCAACAATCCGCAAGGAGCCGTTAGACAGGACGGTCACTCTCTCATCGCTCACAACTGGATGACCTTGGCGGGACCATTCGATGGTTGGAGGAGGCTCGCCGTTTGCCTGGCAGTTCAGCATTGCTGTGGCACCTGCTTCAATAACTGTTTCTACAGGTTCAACAGTAATGACTGGAGGACCTGAAAAAGAAAGGTTTCTTTAGGCAATAGCACATGGTTATGTCTTTTTCATTGTATTGAATATTAAAGGTCTGGTCAGAATGAGGGCAGAAAAAATCCTAAGTCAGTTTACTCTGACTAAAATTAGTACTGTTGGTCTTCCACTGTCAAAATACATGCAAGTTAAAATGACAATGATAGGCTATTTTTAATACATCGCAATCTGAGGACCAAAGTTGGGATTAAGGCCCGACTGCATGAGCACACAGTTTTCTTTATGGCTAAAATGTATTGCTTTTTATAAAACATGCAGGAAAATGCTATTAACCATGTCCAGAGGCAACAGAGACTTCAGTAACAGACCCATACTACTTGAGGCTACAATAGAAAAAGGATGTTCAGAAATTCTACCACTAGTGAAGAAGTAATTCTAAAATCTGATTTCTGCCAAAAATAAAATATTGTCAGTGAAAGCTGGGATTCATTGCACGTAACTTTCTTAATTTAAAAGCTAGAAGTCTAGTTTAATCCAGTTGTATAGACACCCTCTCTGTCAATGAAGAGAAACAGGCCCTTTCAGAAGGTGTGATTCACCTCACTCCAAGCTGGTTTCTAAGATGAGTCTGAATCACCCTCTACACGCTTCTCTTTGACTTCAATCACTAGCTTAGACTAGACGCTTAAATATTAGTGACGAAAGATGAGGTGAATCTTAACCTGCAGCGCCCAACCTCCAAAACCTCAATGGGACCTGCGCACAGCTATCCAACGGTAGGTTATCGCCACTCCAGTGGCATTCAATTTGGCACTTTGAGTCTTACTCTGTAGTGTTAGCGTCAGGCTGCGTTCCACCACACCAGCATCATTGGTAGCCACGCATTTGTAGTCACCAGCATCTTCATTCTAAAGAACAAAAAGCAAATAGCCAACAGGTATGTAATGAGGGTTTCCCTTTACAGTGCACCTCCTGTCAGTGAATTTTCAATGTGGCATGCCCTGGATCTTAAGAGGCATGCTGTTAGGTTCTAGAGTATCTCAACATTTTGCCTTTATTAACATTAAGTTGATATTGTGAATTGGTTTTATTATTCCATTTTTTAGTGCCTTCAACTCCTTAATGCTGAGGATCAATTTTTTAACTTTTTTTTTTTTAAACTTAAATGAACTCAAGGGAGCTATTGTTTTTAACCCCATTTCAAAACGCAGACATGAGTTTATGGGGGGAAGAAAAAGGGTCTTGCCATTCATACTAGGAATTTAGATGCCAAGAGATTTGCATATGGAGAATGCAATTTCTTTTTCAGTTGACCTGACTTTCTAGAACTCAGGCTCTTTCAAGGTCAAAAGCAAAAGTCCTATTTAATTGAGCACGACCAGGATTTCACACACCAACGATTAGTATGTAGATTCAGTCCATCTGACAGTTAAAGAGAACAATAGCCCCCTGTTTGTGGGTTGGGTGGGTTTTTTTGTCACGATAATCTGAGTCTAATTCTAGTCTGAATTAAAACATTTGTTAAAAGTAAAAGCAAAAGTGGATTAAACATCTAGTCTCACTCTTTCAAAACAACATGATCTGGAATACCTTTATTAATCAAGTACAATGCAGAGACACATCATAACAGACCAGTGACTCACTACAGTGCCGTAGATAGCAAGAGAACCATTGTTAAGCTGTCGGATCCTGTTGCTAATCTGAACGCCAACTCCTTTTTTGCTCCACTGGATGGTTGGAGGTGGATCTCCTCTGACTTCACAATTCAACATAGCGTTGCCACCCAAGGGCTCAATTCGGCTAGAGTGGTAATCCCCTTTGAAGACTGGAGGCTCTGAAAAAACAAGTGATGGCAGAGAAATAGAGTCAAAATAAAATGCTCTTAATGAAATTGCTGGCGGGGATCATTCATCTCTGACTTTCTGCAGTGTGAATTTCAACCTGTTTCGATTTTTCCCATTTAGCCATAGACAAGGTATCAAATACTAGGGGTAACGGTTTTAAACTGGAAGAGGGAAGATTTAGATGAGGTATTAGGAAGAAATTCTTGACAGTGAGGGTGTTGAGGCAGTGGCACAGGTTGCCCAGAGAAGCTGTGGCTGCCCCATCCCTGGAAGTGTCCAAGGCCAGGTTGGATGGGGCTTTGAGCAACCTGGTCTGGTGGGAGGCGTCCCTGCCCACGGCAGGGAGATTGGAACGAGGGGAGCTTTAAGGTCCCTTCCAACCAAACCATTCTGTGATTCTGCTATCAAAACAGATGGCTGTGTGAAACTGTCCAACAGTGACCACAGCTACAGTTATTTTACATACCTTTGACATACACAAAGCCAATAGCTTTGATTGAGCCAACTGTGTTTTCTGCTGTGCACACATAAGTACCAGAGTCATCTTTAGATACTCTTTCGATAACAAGTTCGCTGTGTCCATTTACATCATCGTATTGTGCTGAAGGGAGAACACACAGTAAAGGGTTACTTCAACGATTTTAAACGTATACGTCTCAGTGAGTGGTATGTCATAAGACTGTTTGAATTGCAGTGCAATTCAGCGGCACAGCTGAATGGCACTGTGCCGTTTCATTTCTGAGACACCTCAGAATAGCACAGAAAAGTCACTGCTGTGACGTTTGCCCAGACGCACGTATTCACTTAAGTTGCCCCTTTATTTCAAGCTTTGTGCATCTGCGTTCTATGAACTGCTGAGGTTTTCTTCGTATGTAAGAGAAACAGCATTAGTTGTCGGATGCTGAGCAAATATAATCAGATACTGAATGTTTTTAATGTGTTACATTATTGGCTACAGAAGAGGAACAATTTCTTAACTATCTTCCTTACAGCTTTGTCTCAGAGGCAATTTAATTACATGATTGCACAATACCGAAGATATTCCTCACAGAATCACTGCCTAACAAGTTTGTTCCCTCTAGATTTTTTTCCTTCCTTATCCTAAACTAATTGCAATGCTGCGTGAGGGAAAACAACTCTAGAGCGGAATGGCCAGTAAGACCCAGTGTTACCCACCTGGAATGATGTTATTGTTAAAGGTCCACGTTATTTTGGGTACAGGTATCCCAGTGGCTCTGCAAGTTAATCTGAGCTGTTCTCCTTTAGTCAAAGCTATATCTCCAGGCAGTTCAGTAAAAGCTGGAAGTACCTGAACTATCAGGGTGACAGTGTGTATGTCTTCTCCAGCAGCATTCTTAGCAATACAGGTGTAACTGCCAGAATCTTCGGGCTGAAAGAAAGCACGTTGGGGAAACTTCAACTGTGATATATCCTGCACAAAAACTACCACTTGATAAGAGAATCTCAAAAAGTTTGGAACAAGCATTCAGCAGAAATGCTCATCTGAACTCTTTCACTTCCTTTAAATTTGAAAAGTGACCTACACTTCTTTTTGCCCTTCCTGAGAATTTATCACTACAAATTCTTCACAATTTTATTCCTCAGTGGAAAATGAAACGTTTATGAAGACTTTGGAACATTAAGAACAAGAAAACAAAATAAAACAATGATGAATCCAGAAGCAGGTGAAGACGAAGATAAGCAGGGTCTTATTAGTGCCAAATGTGTTAAGCTATAGCTTTGATTTAGGAAACTTACAACAACGTTGTCCAAAATAAGGTCTCCCTCTGGCACAACCCGGTATTTTCCATCTATCTCTGTTAACAGCGTATTGTCCTTCTTCCAGTTTATTGCTGGCGTTGGAATCCCATCAGCCACACAGGACAGAACAGCCTGGGAGTCCTCCGCGACCATGTACTGCGCATCCGTGCTGCGGATCTTGGGTGGAACTGTGACAAGGTTTATTAAAAAGAAGGCCAGGTTGGATGGGGCTTTGAGCAACCTGCTCTGGTGGAAGGTGTCCCTGCCTGCAGCAGGGGGGTTGGAAGGAGGTGACCTTTCCAACCCAAACCATTCTATGATGATTCACCCCTATGTATTATCCAAGAACTACTGCAAAAGTATACAATCCTGGACTGAAGAAACCATTGCCTGGGTCTTCTGTATTGTTTCTTGTCTCCATCAATGACCACCAT